CCCCCGCCGCGCCCCGGTCTCTCCTGCTCTCGGTTCCGTTACGCGGCGCCTTTAAAAAGCTGCGACAGCCCAGACGGCCCCACAGGCCAATGACTGGCGACCCATGCAAACGACCTAACGTCTCCGGGGCAGGGGGATTGGCCCTGCGCATGCTGACGTCACAGAAACATTTCTCCGCCCCGCCCCCAGCGCGCCCGGCGGGGGGGGGGGGCTGTGGGAAGAGCTGGCTCCGCCAAGCCCAGGAAGTTTCTGCGCTTTGGTTTCCCAACGCTTCCGACACCTGGGAGTCGAGGAAGTAAGGCACCAGGGCCGCCTCCAGGCCAGCCGCGGCTACCAAGACCTTGTCTTCACACACCCAATGAACAGCCGGGGCGAGCGAGCGAGAGAGCGAGCCACAGAGAACCGAGAGGCCGATCCAGGCAGAAGCTGAGCCTCCCAAGCAAACACAGTGGGCCTCGGTGTCTGCACAACACCAGAATGACCTAAAGCGCTCCTGCCTACTAGGATGGCCGGGAGTAACTGGACTCCAAGGCCCACCGGCCCAGAGCAAGATGTCAGCACAAAACGGCAACACTGGTTAACTCTATGTGGCCGCCGCATACAGGCTCCAGTACACTCTGTACATTGGATATATCCCATAACCTCAAAGTATTTAAAAAATGAAACCAACTTGCTGAGTAAGATATAACAGTATTATCATTTCAACTGGATATTGTATCTGCATATAGTATTTCTGAAAGGATACAGGAATTATCGGGGTGTACCTGTTCGGGAGGGCAATTTTAATTTTCTTTGTATTTACTTAGTTTTTAGACAGTCTCTTATATCTCAACCTACCCTCAAATTCCTGACCCTCTCGCCTCTACCTCCCAAGTGCTGGAATTACAGGCATACACTGCTAATCCTGGTTTAGGTTTTCAAATTTTTGTAACTGTATATTTGCTTTAAAAGATTCTAGACAGAGCCAAATCGGTGGTGGTGCATGCCTTTACTCCCAGCACTTGGAAGGCAGAGGCAGTTAGAGGCCAGCCTGGTCTACGGATTGAGTCCCAGGACAGCTAGGGCTACACAGAGAAATCCTGTCTCAAAATACAAATTTCAGTACAACTTACTGAAAAATTTGCTGAAAACCATAAAATATATCTTAGGTCATTTGGGGGGGGGGCAGGTTTGAGATAAGGTCTCTCTGTGTAACATCCCTGGCTCACTCTGTAGACCAGGCTGGCTTTGAACTCAGAGATCCTCCTGACTCTGCCTCCTGAGTGCTGGGATTCAAGCCATGTGCCACCACTGCTTGGCTTTTTTTTGGGGGGGGGGTCTTGGGTCTATTTTTAAAGGATTTTATTTGTATGTGAGTGTATGTCTATGCACCCTATGCAGGCACTGCCTGTAGAGTCCAGGAGAGGTCTTGGACCTCTTGGAACTGGAGTTACAGACAGTTGTGAGTCAACTGATGTGGGTGCTGGGAATTGAACCCTGGTCCTCTGGAAGAGCAGCAAGTGCTCTTAACTGCTCAGCTACCTCTCTAGTCCTTTATAAGCCCAATTTTCAAGCATTAAAACTTTAATTCCTGTAGGAAAAGCAGCCAATAGAAAGGATCCAGAAGGACACGGGGAACAATCTTTGGCTCAGAATGTCCTTTAGACCAACCAATTGCACTGTGGGTGTACAGTTAGCAACCAGATGACAAGGTGGCACCTGGGGGCAATTTGCAGATCTCTAAGCAACAGGCGATCAAGTTAGTGATGCAGTGGCACAGGTGTGACTTGGAAGCCACTGTCTACAAATGTGTGGGGACTCAGGTGTGGACAGTACAATGATGCTCTTTGTTCCTGATCCATTCTTCCTTCATCAGTCACAAGCAACTAGAAAATCCTTCCCATGTTCAAAGATACTTACACTGTACTCCTGCCTGCTGCTTCTAAGGAGTCAGCAGTGGCTTCTTACTGCCACCAAGTATACACTGGCCTTGGAGGTGCACTTAGTAACTTCACCCTATCAATCTTTTGGGCTAAACCGTTTTTAATCCCTTCCTGCACCATGATGGTGTTCCTTCTGGCCAGCTGTGCCTGGCCCCCTTCTGTTGAAGTTACCTTTTCTTTTCTATAAATCAATTCTTCCCTGCTTTTCAACGCCCCACTTCCACCTCCTCTTACAGAGGGCTGAGCTGACAAAGCCCTGTCATAGTTACTGTCTCATTCAATAATCCGATCCTGGCTGAAGGCCTTCCTCATTTTAAGGGCACTGAAACCCAGCCTTTACAAGGGATATGGCGGCACAGGGCCGACCCTGCCTCGATGTATGGCTGAGGGTGTGAGGGCCACAGAATGAGGTGACTTGCCCAAGCAGACATTACAGCTTTCTTCCCTCAGAAAACCAACCTCCAAAGACAGAGATAATGCTTGCCTGACAAGTTTGAGAACCTGAGTTCAATCCCCACAACACATATAAAAAGAACATGGAGACAGGTGGATGCCTGGGGCTTGCTGGCCAGCCAGCCAGCCAAGACTAGTTGGTTCGCTCCAAAGACTGTCTTTTGAAAGGATGGACAGTGACTAAGGAATGACATCCTGGGTTGAACTCATGCCTTCACACACCAGCTCACATGTGCACTTATGAAACTGCGCACACGAGCACACATACACACACCCTAACTCACAATCCAGTTAAGGGCTTTTAAACCCAAGTCTGGCCCATGTATCACGTTCTCTGCCTAATGTGTCTTCAACATCCCCTACCCACGTCTGGCAGATTCTCTGTCAAGCTCTAGACACAGCCAGACAGCTCCCTTGTGCCTTTCCTAGCCTGTTAGGTTTGTTCTGGCTTCCCAGACCCAACAGAACCATGCTCACGCTGCGGGTGGGGCTATCTCCATCTCAATTCTGCAGGGTCCAGACTCATCTGGGACCTGGCTCCCACTGGGCCACAAATGCCCAAAAATACTATGGGTGGTCCCTACTTGGCCAGGCAATCCCTTTCCCACCTTTCCCCATACAGGCCCCTCATGGATCTCCTCAGTCTGGGCCTGGCCCTGGAGGCCCACAGTCACACCCTCCCCAGAACAGAAGATGCCCAAACCACCTCCAAACCTGAAGATCTTTCCTGGTCACAAGCAAAACTGTATGGACAGAAGGGAGGAGAGTTTTACCAAGTTTCCTCAATTTTCACCAGAAGCCAGCAATCTGGACTGTTCTTCAGAATCCTGTGCTTTGGGATCCCAGTGTGGCCCTCTGTGCACCTCCCTGTCATCACAGCTCATCCCCTGTGGGGTGTGGCCCTCACACCTATTGTGTGCCCCTTATGACAGCCTACCCTAGTAGTCAGGTGCTGTTTACTCTCAGAGACAGGAAGTAACTGCCCTCACCACAGAGCCCAGAAGGGTGGCCCAGTGCTTTGCAGGAAGCTGCCTCAGCTCCAGCAAGCGCTAAGCGGCTCTGTACACAGTCCTCAGTGGCTCACCCTAAGAGACGAATGCCAGTGTTTGCCCCACTTCACAGAAGAGGCAACTGAGGTGAAAGATGGTCCTTACACATCCCTGAGACTTCGAAATGATCAAAAGCACAGATGTTCCCGGGGCAAAAGAAGACCACTGAGAGGCTCAGGGCCCAGCAGGTGGCTTGAGGTAGCAGATAAGAGCTGGACATCGCAGCAGGGTTCAAGGGCAAAGCCCTTGCTGCGACATTCCACCCTCCTCCTCAGGCCTCTTCTGCACATGAGAGGACACTAGTGAGCTGAAGCAGGAAGAAGGTGCCAGCCAGGGTTCCCACCTACTGTGAGAGCCTGAAGACTGGCTGCCTCCCTCCTCTTGAGTGAGGAAGTATTCCATCCTTTTCTTCCTTGGCCCCTCAAATCTTCCTCTGTAGAGGCAGGACACAACAACCTTCCCAAAACTAAGGAAACATGCAATTGGGACCTTGGGACACACGGCACACTTCAGCCCCCTTGGGACTCAGACCTCTCAAAATACCACCAAGCCTCAGACTAGAGCCCAGAGCC